ATAGTTAGTCTTTAATATCTAATTTTCCTTGAACTGTTAAACTATTTTTTTAATATGTTTATGGCAGTGGTTCTCAACCTGTGGGTCGCGACCCCTTTGGTGGTCGAATGACCCTTTCTCAGGGGTCACCTAAGACCATCCTGCATATCAGATATTTACATTACAATTCGTAACAGTAGCAACATTACAGTTATGAAGTAGCAACGAAACTAATTTTATGGTTGGGTCACAACATGGGGAACTGTATTTAAAGGGCCAGAAGGTTAAGGACCACTATTTTATTGATTTTAGAGAGGAGGTGATGGGGAGAGAGTGATAGAAACATCAATGATGAGTCATTGATTGGCTGCCTCCTGCACACCGCCTACTGGGGATCAAGCCTGCAACCCGGACATGTGCCCTGACTGGGAATTGAACCCATGACCTCTTAGCTCATAGATTGATGCTCAACCACTGAGCCATGCTGGGCCAGTGAAACTATTAAAACCTGTATATTCAGATAGCCCATTAATGAGACTAAATTCTGTAACTTGCAAGAATGTTTTGTGTAGATAACTGCATCCAGTGAGAGCTCATAAAAAATGATTTGGCTTTTAGCACAATGGTTCTGGGTCTCAAGAGATTTTTTCATCCTAGCAGATATTTGGCATTGTTCTGGGAATGATGAAAACAAACTCCTCTTCTTAAGGAATACACAGTTCAGAAATGGGAACAAGGAAAAGTGACATGAAGCTGGCTTAGCAGACCGCTTTATTAGCAGTCTTCTTGTCCCTGAACCCTAAATTTTCTTTTTTATCTCTCAATTGTGAATGGTTCTGGCATTTGCTCTTTTTCTTGGTCAGAAAAAGAAAACCACTAGAACACACCTCTCTCCTGAAAATTCACTTTAAGGCTTAGATTTAGAAAAAAAATTGTTTTTTAAAGGTTTATTGCCGTTTATCATTCCTTCTACAATATGCCTACTGTGTGCTCCACTGCTGCTGTGCAAAATACTGGTGATGATTGAACAAAACCAGAATTCATGTCCTCATGAAACTACACTGTGGATGCAGAGCTCCTCCTCAAATAAACAACATTACACATCATGCGCACTACCAGACGGCATTGAGTACTGTGATAGGGAATAACGGGGGGAGAGAGGGAAGTGTGAATCTACCTTAGTGAAGGTCAGGGAAGCCTCACTAAGAAAGGAACATTAAAGTTAACACAGAAAGACAAGATGCCAATCAGAAGGTAAAGTGTTCCAGGCAGAGGGAACAGCAAGGGGAAGAGCCCAGTAGTGAAAAAGTTTAATGTGCTGGACGATTTAAGCATGAATAGCATGAGTTTATATATGAATGCTTAATATATGCTAGACTTCATGCTAAGTAGTTTAATGCATCCTCTTATGTAATCACTACCAGAAACCCCACCATTTTCAAAATGAAATAAACGAAGCATAGGCAAGGTTAACTTGTTCAAAATCACATAGCAAGTAGGGGAGCTTGGATTCAATTCAATGCAGTATCAATCCAAAGCCTACATTTTTAACTCAACCTTACAGCCAAAGTTAAAGATAAGCAACAGCCAAATCACGTGGGACTTTATAATCCATGGTAAGGGGGTTGGCTTTACTTTTTAATTAATTAACTTTTTTGAATTTTAAGCTCAGTGGAAAGTCATTGAAAGGTTTAAGCAAAACAATAACATTATCTGATTTACTTTTCTACAGGAGCTGTTGTGTGTTGGCCAGAGAGGCTGGGGAGGAGTTGTAGAGTTAAAAAAAAAAAAAAAAAAAAAGGAAACCAATAAGTAGCCAAGAGAGAAGTGAAGGCATTCTGGACTAGAGCAAATCAAATTAGACTTGCCAATTATTTGGATACATGAAAGATTTCCCAGGCTTCTGGCTTACTAACAAAGGGATTACCACGAAGGATAAAAAGAAAATGATTCAGGATCAGACAGTTTGGGAAAGAGAGGTAGATCCATTCAGTCATTCAACAAATCTTGCAATCTTATCCTCTACTATGTGAGGACATGGGAGAGTACAAAACTGGTCAAGTCTTGCCCTCATAGAGCTTACATCTTTGGAGTGGAGGGCAGTTAGACAAAAATAACATGTAAGCCACAGATGGAGATAATTGCTATGTAAGCCAATAAAGCAGGCCACCTGGGAAAGGAGGGGACCATTTTAATTGAGTGGTCAAAGAGTTTCTCTAATGAGCAGAGGCCTAAAGGAAACAAAGGCAGCCCTGACTATTTTGGGGAGAAGAGCTCCCAGCAGTGTGAAAAAGACTGCAATGCCATGAGGCAGAAGTGTGTTTTGTGAGTCTGGGGACTGGCAAGGAAGCCAGGTGGTATAGCAGAGTTGGTAAGGGGAAAATAATAGAACAGAGAACAGAACTCTGATTAAGGATGTCAGCTTTTTTACTCTGAAATCCTGGAAGCTTTCAGAGAGGAATGGAGGAGTGGTGTTACTCTGGTTGCAATATGGAAATAACACTATAAGGAAGCAAAGGCGGAAGCAGAGGCTCGCGAGGCATTGTTCCTTTGGTGGATCAGCGTAGTGATGAAAGGGTCAAGCTTAGGAGAGCTTTTGAACAGTGGATAGAATCTGTTGATGGGATTAGATGGGGGTAGCATTAACAGAGGAGTTAAGGAAGACTGTTTTTTGTCCCGTTACCAAAGAAGAATGAGGTTACCATTTACTGAGTTTGGCATGAGCATGGGAGGAACAGATTTATATTGGAAAATAACTTCAGTTTGCCAAGATAGAGATACTTATTACAAATTTAAATATAGATGTTGGGCAGGCAGCTGTTTTCTAGATTCCAGAGAGGTCTGGTTTGGATCTAGTCTGGCAGTCTTCAGCATATACCGTATTTGCCGGCGTATAAGACGACTGGGCGTATAAGACGACCCCCTAACATTTCCACTCAAAATACAGAGTTTGTTATATACTCGCCGTGTAAGACTACCCCCTCTTCCGCACACCTTCCACACACCAAATAAAAGGTAAAACAATATCAGATTTGATTTTAACATTTTAATTTATATTCAAATGCTTATGACATGCAGGAAAACTGTCACAAGGCTGTATGTAATCAAACATATACATAAAACAGTGCAAGTTTATTACCGGTAAACATACAGGTAATTCCAG